CTTCAGAATTTCTTCTCCATTTCTCATTCGTCTCTTATCCATTTCTTACCACCCCTCATACTGTTACTTCAAATAAAAGTGCCCAACTACACCTCTTTTAGAATTTCTTTCCTTGCTTGTCCTTGTCCAGCTGTACCAATTATAATTGCTGTTTAACCTCACAGCTGTCAAATCAACATAGTGATCCTTGCAGGGACCGGAATGACCTGGATGTTTCGGCAGTATACCACCAGCTGTTGGATACTTACAAGTCATCGGACACTGAATCTGATGTGGACGTGGAAGCGAAGCCTGGCCCAAGTAACAGTCGAAACGCTACCAACCTGGGCGCCAATACACGGAAATACCGTGAGCAGAGGAAGTGCAGACTGAATCAGCGCGCGGCCGCGTCCTCCGTTTCCACCGATTGGCGTCGTGACTGTAGAGATCTCCTGGAGATGCTTTGGAGCTGTGAGGACTCAACCCCATTCAGGTTGGCACTCACCCCACAAAATTACCAGTGCTGTAATCAAGTAACTTCAAGAGTTTACTCTACTTACAAAACAACAAGTGTGCCATTTCTTACTTCATTCCTTCGTACAGAAGCATTAACGACAATATTCACTGGTTTCATTTTTCCATTCAGGATGCCTGTTGACCAACTTGAACATCCAGACTACTACCAGGTGATTGACACCCCGATGGACCTTCGCACTGTGAAGGAGGACCTGTTAGGGGGCAACTACGAGTCCCCTCTCGAGTTCTGCAAAGACATGCGGCTCATCTTCATGAACTCAAAGAACTACAACACCAACAAACGCTCACGTGTGAGTTCCCTCAATACTCTGTGCAAGTTCATGCTGTCTGATGGATTCAGACTTCACTGAAATGCCATGACTATTTTGTGAAATGTATAGTAGCAGTTTATAATGAACCACTTTAAGTTGGTCCCTAAACAAAATTTTATCAAAACAGAACTTTGTAGTTCTGAGATGCAACTTTCCTATTTTGTAATCATGCAGGTACTGGATACAGAATGGTGAGATTTCAGGTTTCCACAGTGGCAAATATCAAGATGGATGTCTTCTGTTGCGCCATGTAGTGTGGTAGATATTGACTGATGTTTCAGCAATGCTTTCTGCCGTAATTATCACGCTGATCATGAAGGCTGTGAGCACCTCTTAAATATTGGACATTGTTTACCAGACTGCATGATGCAATATATCAGAAAACATCCTTGCTCTAAGTACAAAATGTTACTACTACAGCAGAAGATTTAATCAGCGATATGCCCTTGTTTTAGATATACTCCATGACAGTCCGGCTGTCAGCCATGTTTGAGGAGCACATGAAGACTGTCATCTACAACTGGAAGTGTGCACAGCGTCAAGAAATGCTCAACAAACTGTGCTCTGCACGCCTGAAGGGCAAGTCAGTTAGAGTGACATCATCTACACAAAATTCTTCCCGTAGTCAGTCCACAGCAGGCACTTCTGCTGTTAGCTCCAGGTCAAACCGGGCAGGTCTGTATAGCATCCAGCATTCACCAAATGATGCAGTTTCCCTAGGATCCACAATTATGAAGCAGACTTCACATCATAATGCAGTGGACTTGCTATTACTTTTCATTGTCACATATCAGAGCAATAATTACAGAAGTAGGTCTCTGGAATCTTCTTAAAGTACCATATTTTCACAACATAAGCTACACATTGCTTCCAAATCTGCATTCCCTAAAAGCATAATGTGGCTTGTGATTTGGAGTGTTTTCTTGATGACGAGATAATCAGTGTGTATTGTGTTTTGTTAGAAATTGTTGCATTGTGGTTTTTAACGTAGAGAATCAATGCAAATATTTTGATAATTGTTCATATATAAACATTTGTTTCACAAAAGAATGGATGAAAGAAACTGCATGAAGTAGTGGGATGAAGCAGTTTTATTTGGAAAATTGTATCATTGCCAGTGTTTTGGTAGTCAAGTGAGTCAGGCCCTTGAATGTGAATTTGACTTTTGTTCAAGGATTTCAAAATATAACATTAATTTTAAAGAATGGATGCAGTATGCAATTGTGATGTGTGTTTTTATAACTATAATGTATGACAGGGCTGTGAAATAATTGCATATTGGCTGGCTTAATCACTGTTAACTCTAAGAAATGCTAAACAGACATTGGATGCATGTAGTTGTGTACAATATGAGGATTTTATTTTGATGTGAGAAAAGGGCATGCAAGTATTTGTGAGTGAACATGAAAAGGGAATGTGATAGAAGAACCTGATTTGAGATTGTAATTTGTTTAGTGAGGGTCTTAATCATGGACCAGCTATTGGTGAGTGCTTTTAAATATTCAGAGTGGTTATGTGTGCTGTTGGTAATTGCAGTACAGTGTACGGTATTGTAAAACATGATTCTCCTGGTTGTCATCTTGCAGGCCCATCACGACCACCAGCTCATGCTACAGAGGAGAGTGACTCTGAGGATGAAGTGCCGCTATGCCGCAAACAACTGCCCCCCACACCCAAGAAACAAACAGGTACGGTGTTAGGAACATCCCTTCATCTTATGTGTTGTGCATCACTGTCTCCCTATAAGCTTTCAGAGATTCAGTCAATGATAGTGAGTAGCAGTAATGAATGTTCTCCTCTTCCAGGAGTGCTGACGGTGGTAAACGGGCACACACGCCCTGGTCCTGTGTCTCGGCCCTCAATCCGCCTGCGCATCACAAAGGTACGAGCCCCTAGTGAGTCAAACAGCCAGAGCAGCAATAGCAGTTCTGAATCCAGTGCCTCTTCATCCTCTTCATCCAGTTCCAGCTCCCACAACTCCGGCAGTGTGTCAGACCAAAAGCGAACGCGTGTGCAGCCCCAGCGTGCGGCTGTGAGCAGGAAGCGACGACGCCCTGTCTCAGGGGACTCTGAGGACAGCTACCGCCCTGCACAAGCACGGCGCTGTATTCCTAGTGGACGGCGAAGGCCGCGTGTGGGCAGGGGAGCTGTGGTGCGGTACCATGAGGACAGTGACAGTGACCGGCGGTGCACCCGCAACAATGATAGACGCGGGCGTCGGCGTCGGCGTCAGTATGCCCCACCTGATGAAAGTGAGGAAGATGGAAAGGTGCAGTATGACACTAGGCCAGCTCGTGCCACAAATAAGGTGCAGTACTGTGAGGCCAGTGATGACAGTGACCCGAGTGCACGGCGCACCACACGGGGACACAGGACTCACTATGCCGAGGACAGCAACGTAAGTTCAGATGATGCCCCCATGTTGATCAGTGTCAGTAGCCGGGGTCGGATCAGGAAGATGACACCCAGAGCGAGAGCGGCCTTGTTACGCAGTTAGATAGCACCAGACCATGGGTATGAGGTGTGTTTCATTTGGTACC